AATTTGACCATGAGGAAACAAACAAATCAAAATTAAGGGATATTCTACAAGTAACTGGCTTGTAATCTTCAAGGTCACGATGGTCAAGGAAAAACTGAGGAACTCTTCCGTACTGAAGAAGACTAAAGAGACATGACTAAATGCAACACATAATTCTAAACCAGATCCTCTTGCTAAAAATGACGTGGTTGGGACAAATAGGGGAAGTTGAATGGAGTCTGAATGGTAGTAATGTATCAATGTTGGTTTCCTGATGTTGATCATTGCACTCTGGTTACGCAGAAGAATGTCTTTGAAATACATGCTATAATACAAGGGAGTGATGGGGCATCAAGTAAGCAACCTGCTCTCAGACCATTCAGGAAACAGAATTCTCTGTTGTGAACTACTTGCAACTTTTCCATAAGTTTGAGGGTATTTCGGAATAATTTTTAAATGAAGATATTAAAGAGTATGTAGCCTATGATATCATTTACATCATTTGTTAGTCCGCTAGTGGATGGATGAGTAGGTGGCATGAAGGGAGGAAGGAAGGGTGAATGGATAGAGAGAGAAAGACGGATAAAACAGATTGGAAGAACACATAAGAACACATAAAAATGCTTACATTAACTATCCCTATATGATGGGAAAATACGTTTGTTTTTGTTTTGTTATTGTTCTCTGATTTATTTCTTTTCCAAGTTTTCTGAATTGACCTGTTTTCTTGTATAATGGAGGTAGTAGAAGCGGAAGTAATTTGAAAAAAAAGAACAAACAAAAACAATCCTCTCTACTGCAGATGTTGATTAGCTGATTCATTCCATGCACAAACTCTTCCTTCTCTTTTGTCAATCTCCAGGTAGTCATCTAGGGAGAATCATGTGAATGACTCAGCTCAGGCCAATGAAACAAGCTCAGGCCAGGCCAATGAAACAACAGCAAAAGTCTGCTGGGGAAGCTTTTGGGAAAGCTTTTGCCTTCCTGATATAAAGTGATATATTCAGCAACACATGTCTTCATATTTTTAACAATTTTCTTGAGATATAATTCACACACAATATAACTTACCCATTTAAAGTATACAAATCCATGGTTTTTAATATAATCACAGTTATGCAGTCGTCACCACAAGCAATTTTATAAAATTTTAGTCACCCCCAAAAGAAACTCCATATCTATTAGCAGCCACTTCCCATAACCCCAACCCCTCCCCAGCCTTAGGCAGCCCCTAATGTACTTTCTGTCTCTAGATTTGCCTAATCTGCATATTCCAAATAAATGGAATAATATGATATGTGATTTCAAATAAATGGAATCATATTATATACAATCTTTTGTGATGTAGCATATGGCTTTCATGGTTCATCCATGTTGTAGCAAGCATCAGTACTTCATTACTCTTTATGGCCCAATTATATTTTATTGTTTGGATATCTGTCCATTACCCATTTATCAGTTGATGGACATTTGAGTTTGTTTCCATTTCTTGACTATGCATTATGCTGCAGTAAACAGTCATGCACAAGTTTTTGTACATATATGTTTTCATTTCTCTTGGATATATACCTAGAAGGGGAATTGCTTGTTCAAATGATAACTCTATGTTTAATATTTTGAGGAAATGCCACTCTTTCCCAAAGCAGCTATAACATTTTTTATTCTCACCAGCAATGTATGAATGTCTTCACATTGTGTCCCTCCCTTCTCCTTCCTGCACAAATACAATCCTGATGCCTAAAAGTAGAGTGACCAGCTTAAAACTAGGAGGCATAAACACGAAGATGCTAATGGCTTAGCAGAAAGACATAGTCTGGATTTCTACCTACCTCCAGACTTACTATTTGGGAGGAAAAAAAAACCTTATATGAATAAGCTGCTCTAAGTGGGGGTCTTCTATTAGGTACAAAGAAAGAAAACCTGTGATGCCCCCAAACATCCAATGTCATTATATTCAGAGGAAGAAATTTCTTCCTGATCTTTATACGTATACTAATTTATAACAGAACCATGTTTTAACAAGTTGGAGCTGTATGAGACGTGTAAATGGTCTTGAAATTTTAAGATAAACTAATGTATTTTCATTTTATTTACTCTAAATTTTTATGAAATTTCTTCATTATTATTCAGTTAATGCAATAAATCTTAATGAAGACCGATATCTGAACTAAGAAAAGTATGTGAAAGAGTAAACAAAGGCATTCTAAGCACTTTACAAATGAACTCATTTAGTCCTCTAAACTCTGAGCTAGGTAAAACTTACTATTCCCACTCTACAAATAAAGAAACTGGGAAACAGAGTTTAAATAACTTGCCCATGTCATGTGGCTAGCATCAGAGTCAGTATTCAAAGTCAGGCAGAATACCTGCTTAACCCTACACTATGTTGCCTCCACTGTACAGCAATTTAGCAATTTTAGAACAGAAAATTAATCATTAGTAGTCTAAAAATGTATACAGGTAGGCGTGTGTGTATTCATGTTCATTAATGCTAAATGCTACTTTCATGGTGAGATGGGTGGTAAGGGAACAACAATATTTTTTAGCACCCACTATGTACCAGATACCGTACAAAATATTCAACAAGCATTATCTCATTATTTCCTCATAACAATGGGGAAGACGATACCATCTTCATTTATGGGAAAAGAGTGTGAGGCCCAGTAAAGTTAAGTAACTTGCCCAATTTCACACAACTAATAACTAGCAATGCTGAATATAATATCAAGTCTGCCTTGTTCAAAGCAATGCTCTTTCTACTACACAATGATTACCTATTTAGATTTTTCAGACACTTAAACTATAAACTCAACATGACTGTATAAACTGTTATGGCTTTACATTTATTACCCTTATCTGTTGATAATCACTCATAGACTTTGAAAATATTTTCCCACCTTTTCTGCTAAAATATCTAAAATTTCTACTAGGATACATTTAAAAATGAAAACACAATTGCCTAGATAACAATACATTAACCCTTCATCATGTTTTGAAAGAATTATTCTATAAGCCCAGCTAGTCACTGGAGAAGATCCACACCGATCACTTTTGTACTAGTTCAGTAACAATTATCTATCTGCCTGGACCATATCCTTTTAGGCTTGCCTAAAAATAAGTTTTCCTGAACTTGCTATTTCCTCAAGCTAGAGGCATACCAGGTTCTAACATCAAAGACAGCTTGCTCCTAGAGATAGGCAAGCACTTAAAACACCACTCTTGGTCTACCTTCTACTTCACAGGTCTTACCTACACATATTTTTATCAGGGTCTGAATAAAAATTTTGTCAATATTTTAACTTAAAAATGTTACAAGGGGATACTTTTAGAAAATGTGCTCAGGGGAAATCGCTGCCTACTTTCATAAATCAACAATCTGATCCCATGGCAATGATCTACCCTTTCCCCCACTACTTCCCAATATGGTTAGAGTAGACAGTATATTTTATCCATAAGTCAGACCTGCTAGGCATGGATTTACGTTCTCACCTCTTGAATATCCCTTCTTCCCATTCTATGCTTATTCCCACCTCTACATCTCTGCTTAAGCTATACCCTGCAGCTGAATGCCAGCTCTCCTCTCTAACTTACTGTCATTCTAGGCCCAACTAAATCACTAGTCCCTGAAGCCTTCCCAATACTCGTAAGCCCACATTGAGCTTTACCTTCTGCGTATTCTTACATTTAAAGCCTGTACTTTCTCATCCAATCCTTGATTACATTCTGCCTAAGTTGTTCATGAGTTGTCGCTCTTATTCTTATGACCATTATGTATATTTTCTAGAAGATCGATCAAGTCACATCTTTTTCTTTCATCTCCTCAAGCATATAGCACAGTGATTAAAAAATGCATTAAATAAAGTAATAATATAAATAAGATTATAGCTTAAGAAACCAATCTACTTTTAGGTCCACATACCTGAAAAAATATGACTAACAAAAATCATCTGTTTATTAAACTAAACCCAAAAATTTATTAAGTTCTTTCAAGAATGTTACAATTTTGCTTTGAAGTTATAATACCAACATTCTTAAAATATATTTATTTGCACTTTTATTTCAGACTCCAAACCCAGTATGTTGAGATTTTGCCGATACATTAAAATATGCATATTTCTTACCAACATTTATGGCCACAACCTAAAAATAATCTTCGGATCATAAGTTTTGTACTATAAGAGCCTAGTTTACATGTTTGAAATCACAATACATGATCTATATTTACACAACAGAATTGTCTGAAGAATTAAATTACATCCCAAATTATCATTTCATTAATACTTAGAATATTCCATTATGCAGGCAAGTATTAACAAGTCTACTATACATTTTTTTCTATTAATGTGTCTGAAACGACCATAATTAGTCCAATGACATAGCTTAAGCAGTAGGTAACTGTATGTTACTCTTTAAGTGTGGAGAAATTAGTTTTCATTGAACCTTTCACACAAAAATGCCACGCAATCTGAGTCATGAAAAAATAAACTTGCATTTTAGACCTTTGGAAATCACTGGTTATAAGTGGCTTCACACCTAGTGGAAAGGAGCAGACTATTTAAATTAACTCTATTTAAAATTAAATAGAAAAAATAAAAACATGTTGCCAAATGAGGGAGAAAAATTTTCTACTGGTTCAGTTATTATTTGGATTTCTAAAGCACATGGCCAGAAACAGAAGAAAGATTAAAATTTGAAAGAATATTACCAGTAGTACTTAATAAAAAAGCTAATGATGAGTTTTCCATAGGAAAAGCATATCACAAAGGGAAAAAAAAAGGTGAATGTATTCACCAAGAAGTGTCATTTAATTTCCCCATAAAGACAAAATTAACATCAAAAATTACATTAATTCACTACTTCATTAAATATAGATTTAGTAATCTCTCTGTACGTGAATAAAAGAAAGATAAAAACAAATACATTTTCTTCCTTGAAGGTTTATTAGAATTTGTACCATAAAGAATTTCTGGACATTTTCTTTTTAAATGTATTTTGCAAGGACATAAAAAGGGGAATCATACCTGTTTTACTAATAGCTTCCTGTAACTCAGCCATAGAACTGATTATTGCAACAAGAAGGTCAGAACTGGTGAGCCAACTGAGAGTTCGCAAACAACGTAACTGCTCCTTTTGATGTTCTGCAAAAACAGAAAAAAATCCATTATGCAATTCTACAAAAATTTATTAAAATCCGTTTAAAAATTATGGCAATATTTAGCTATTTAAGAAGTAGATCAAAATTTGTATGTAGAACTTCACCTAGTGCAGAGAAGTCTACAATAGATGTGAGATTTTATTGACTTTATTTATGGTTCAATTTTTCCATATAAGAGAAGTCAAGTAATGTATTTGATCATGAAACAAACAGGCATTTTATTAACTCCTCTCTATAGATAATGGTAACTGACATCATAAAAGAAAAGGGAGAAGGAAATTTTATTTAGCTCTACTTACTTAATAGCTTGCTTTTGAAAAGTTAAAAACTGAAATAATTGTTTCCTCAGAATAGTCAAGCATTCAAAAAAGTTAGCTATAAAACTTACATTAGTTTCCTTTTCATTCAATTCTTCAACAGATTTTTAACTCTGATCATTTTATACTAATTCAAAGAAAGTGAAAGTAAATTATGCTAATTAATTTTAAATAGGGCAGAGTTTCTGGATTGACTTTCTTGAAAAATCGCTGTACAAACTTTTCAATTTACTGTCAAAAGAGCATTCAAATATAATAAAGCTAGACAAAGTTGAAATCATATATATTTGCTACTTTCTTTATATTTTAATGTTTATAACAAAACATTAAAGCCTAATTTATAAATACACACTTATTCATACACATATACATATCTACATATGTATGTACATATGTTACATGATTTGACATTGTAAATGATTTTTTTATGTTTTTGCCCAACATATTCACTTCGTATGTCACTTACATTCGACTCAGATTTTTAAAAGCACAAATTATCTTACTTGGAAATTTATGCTTGTCTTTGGGCTCTCCTGTACACACTAACATGCCTATGCCTTCTTTGAAACTCTCCATCCAGGTAAAAAGAGAGGCACACGACTGGCCCAAAATCTTGAGTCTGTTTGCTGCCAAAATTGCAATAACACCTTTCCGGAATACACGTATTAATCCTTTGAATGCTTTTTTCTTCATCTTGGCTTCCTCTTGCTTCTTTTCCTCTACAATTGACAAAGCCTGGGCTAGAGTTCTAACTTCCAATTTTAACAACTCAAAGGTGTTGACCTGCTCCTGGAGAAAATCTCTCTGTGTGGATAAGGCAGATGATCGGCTATACAGAGGATATAAGGCACCAGCCATCAATGCGCAGGCCGCCAGCAAGGATGTTTGTTCCCTTTTAGTCTGTGATAACAAGTTTTTGAAATGTGTGTTTTCAACAACCAATTGTTCATGTGACTTCTCAATACGGTTCAACTTTTCCGTATTTTTTTCAGCAATTTCTTGAAATTTCTATAAGAAAAGTCAAATAATATATTTGATCATGAAACAGGCATTTTATTAACTCCTCTCTTAAAAAAGAAAAACTTTTGCTGACAACTATTTCTTTTTCTTCGAAAGATCTATGTTCTAAAATATCCAAAAAATACATATGATAGAGCAACAGTGGGCCAAACAGCTTAGATCTAAATGTGCACAGTAATTTTTAAATCCCTTATATGGAAGCTTTACACAAAGTAGACCACATACATTTAAAAATACTTTGTAAATTTCCTGTATACTTATGCATAAATACACATATTCAGAAAAAGAAAATTCCTTCTCCTCCATTCCTCAGTAACATGCATTTCCTACTTTTAAACAGAAATCACACCAGCATTAGAGGCTTTTCTATATGTAAAAAGACTTAACTTTTTGTCAAAATAGCAAAGGGTTAAATGAATAATACAATACACAGCATCTGACTATCTGCCATTTACTAGACAAGAGGGGACTGATTCTCAGAGCATACTCTGTTATTTCAGTTTCTTCCTCCCCAAGACAGAAGGCTGTACAAAGTACAGCTCCAGTGCTGGGAGTAAATACTAACTGTGGGCTGGGCCTCAGCAGCTCTCTGGTCCTTTTTTCCTGATCAAGATACTTATAAATCAAAACTTAATATGCAACACACAGAAATTTCAACTGCAGGCACTGGATTTTAATCACTAGAAAATAAACTAGCTCTCCCCATGAAATCTTATACCTAATCATTAAGGAACTGTTGAAATAGAGTAAATTTAGAAGATAACAGATGCCAATTTCTTTTACTGATGCATTTATCATTCGATAAACATTTCCTGATTGCTCACTAAATTCCACACGCTAGGAAAACAGACAAATAAATCAATGATTGTGGTATAATGCTGTGATGGAGCTATGCTAGATTGCCAGAGATGCACAAAAGGATGTTTATACCAAATGACGTTGACCAGCTTTTGGAGGAATATGGCAAAGGACAAGTGGGAGTGAGATGTGTAATAGAAAGAACTACAACAAAAAAATCTCAACTCCACCAATAAGGAGGCTAGCCAACAGCTACCCTTGTAATAAAATTTAATCTAATCTAGTCCATGGTGATTTAGCAGCTTTAGCTGAATCTTTACTTAACCAAATAAGCTGCCCTGGCTTGTCCACGGACTTCGTTCTTTTTAAAACAGGCCAAGGGAGTTCAATTTGAATAAAGGGGTCAGTCAGAGACAGAGAAAAATCATGCTCTATATAAAGTGAAGTAGTATCTTCATTATGAGAGAATCCTTTTGGGGGCATTAAGGAAAACATTTCTCTTTGTATTATTGGTTCAGGTCACACTCCGTCTGAAATTTAACAATGGTCCTTGGGAAAGATTTACAGTGTCTGATTCAAGAGTTATCCACGAACAACTAGAACAATCAGAGGCATTTCCAAAATTTACATTGGCAGGAAGACTTCAAAGGTGTTCAGACTTAGAGAAAACCATACAAACTCTTAACTACTCTGCAAGATTTGGGTGTCAAAGCCTACCATGGACAATGTTGACAGGAAGTAGCCAAAAGGATTCAAACTTGTCGAAACACATGGCTGAGGAAAGTAACCCCCGGACCAAAACCAGTCCTGAGGCTAAGGGATGAGGTTCCCAAAGGTGCACGGTGAGTAGAAGGAGGCACTCAGAAGTACAGCCCTGAATACAAACGAGTAAAGGAAGTATACAAGAGGCCACTCTCTGATGGATTCAACTTCTTGAATGCTTTCCCTTGGGCAGGAGGGAAATTGGATTTAGTCTTGGTTTTAAATGTTTCTCTGCTATACTTTAAGTTCCTTTATTTACTCCAACTATTCTCTGAAGTCTGATCCAGCCGCACCTGTGGTGGTACTGTGAGAAATAAAGGAATGGGGAAATAAGGGAATTGTAGCTTGCTCCAGCCACATCTCTACTGATAGCCAAGTTGTGGCAGCGGTAGTTTATCAATGGGCCTGTGCCCCAGAGCTCCATATAAAGACCACTAGTAAAGGTCATGGTGTTCCACTGGGAGCAGCTGGAAGATGGAAGAAACTCTGAGAGCCAAGTAGACGGCTTAGAAGCAGATGTACAACAGCCTTTATGAAAAGGGAAAACTGACACAAGTTACAGCTAGAAAAAGCAGGAAGACTAGCATATAGCAAAGGAAGAGCCAGAAAACAGAGTAATGTGTTCTAAGGAAGTACAAATAATTCAGAATGTCTGAAGAGGAAAATGATGGAAATTTGAGAAGTCTGTAGATAATAAATGATTAAGCTAAAGAATTTAAACTTTACCCAGAAAGCTATGAGAAACCATAAAAACTTGGGACAGTTGCTAAGCTTTAGTAAATGGATGGGAAAATTGGAAACATTAATAAAGACTGCCCGGGATAGCAGCAGAGTTGCAGGGAGTAGAGGGAGCAAATGGAAATTACGAAGTTTAATTCCATATTCTCTCCAAAATCAACTCCACCAGTTCATTTAGAGAAAAAAAGGAAAATTATAGAAAATCTAGGATAAAAGAGATGCACTGGTCATACCTAAGTAATGGAAATAAAAATGAACCTAATCAGGGTGGACCTGAGCATCCTGAGGGGAAACAGCGAAAGCGAGGCGCGAGGTCCGGCTGGAGCGTCAGCGTCCCTCCTCCTGACTGTGGGGAAAGCGGCTTAAAACTCATCCCTAGGCTCTCAAGCCCCTTATTCAGCCAAGTCCCTCTGAGCTCCTTCCTCCCTGAGCTAACGTACCAGGGGGGACGGGACAGGGGAGGGGACTGGTGCAGGTAACGGGGAACATCAAAAGATGATTGTTAACTAAGGAAAACCAGCTACCCAAGATCACTCATCCTGGGTTAAGCCAGCTGCCGTGTCATGAGGACACTCAAGCAGCCCTAAGGAGAGATCCAGTGGGAAGGAACTGAGGCCACCTACCTACAACCACAAGTTGCCAGGCTGCCACCTGCTAAAGAAGAGGATATGTCACCAATACCTGCCATTGGAATTTCTCCCCGGGCACAGTCTGCACAACAGTAGTTCTCCTTGCTTCTGTGTCTGCCCTTTGGAGGATGAGGCTATCTAAGAGTCTTGTGCAGAGGACCTTCAAGATGGCGGAAGAGTAAGACGTGGAGATCACCTTCCTCCCCACAAATACATCAGAAATACATCTACATGCAGAACAACTTCTACAGAACACCTACTGAACGCTGGCAGAAGACCTCAGACCTCCCAAAAGGCAAGAAACTCCCCACGTACATGGGTAGGGCAAAAGAAAAAGGAATAAACAGAGACAAAAGAATAGGGACGGGACCTGCACCAGTGGGAGGGAGCTGTGAAGGAGGAAAGGTTTCCACACACTAGAAAGCCCCTTCGCGGGCGGAGACTGGGGGGCGGAGCGGGGGAAGCTTCGGAGCCGTGGAGGAGAGCACAGCAACAGGGGTGCAGAGGGCAAAGTGGAGAGATTCCCACACAGAGGATCGGTGTCGACCAGCACTCACCAGCCCGAGAGGCTTGTCTGCTCACCCGCCGGGGCGGGCGGGGCTGCGAGCAGAGGCTCCGGCTTCCGTCGGATCCCAGGGAGAGGACTGGGGTTGGCGACGTGAACACAGCCTGAAGGAGGCTAGCGCGCCACAGCTAGCCGGGAGGGAGTCCGGGAAAAAGTCGAGCTGCCGAAGAGGCAAGAGACTTTTTCTTCCCTCTCTGTTTCCTGGTGCGCGAGGAGAGGGGATTAAGAGCGCTGCTTAAAGGAGCTCCAGAGACCGGCACGAGCCGCGGCTATCAGCGCCGACCCCAGGGACGCACATGAGACGCTAAGGCCATTGCTGCCGCGACCAAGAAGCCTGTGAGCAAGCACAGGTCACTCTCCACACCTCCACTCCCGGGAGCCTGTGCAGCCTGCCACTTCAAGGGTCCCGTGATCCAGGGACAACTCCCCCGGGAGAACGCACGGCGAGCCTCAGGCTGGTGCAATGTCATGCCGGCCTCTGCCGCCGCAGGCTCGCCCCGCATCCGTACCCCTCCCTCCCCCTGGTCTGAGTGAGCTACAGCCCCCGAACCTGCGGCTCCTTTAACCCCGTCCTGTCTGAGCGAAAAACAGACGCCCTCAGGCGACCTACACGCAGAGTCGGGGCCAAAACCAAAGCTGAACTCCGGAAGCTGTGCAAACAAAGAAGAGAAAGGGAAATCTCTCCCAGCAGCCTCAGGAGCAGCGGATTAAATCTCCACAATCAGCTTGATGTACCCTGCATCTGTGGAATACCTGAATAGACAATGAATTATCCCAAACTGAGGAGGTGGACTTTGGGAACAACGATATATATATATATTTTTTCCCTTTTTCTCTTTTTGTGAGTGTATATGTGTATGCTTCTGTGTGTGATTTTGTCTGTATAGCTTTGCTTTTACCATTTTTCCTAGGGTTCTGTCTGTCCGGTTTTTTTGTTTGTTTGTTTGTTTTTTAGTATAGTTTTTAGCACTTGTTATCATTCGTGGATTTCTTTTCTGATTTGGTTGCTGTCTTCTTTCTTTCCTTTTTTAATACTTAAAAAAATTTTTTAATAATTATTTTTTATCTTAATAACATTATTTTATTTTATTTTACCTTCTTCTTTCTTTCTTTCTTTCTTTTTTTTCTCCCTTTTATACTGAGCTGTGTGGATGACAGGCTCTTGGTGCCCCAGACATGCATCAGGGCTGTGCCTCTGAGGTGGGAGAGCCAAGTTCAGGACACAGGCCCACAACAGACCTCCCAGCTCCACATAATATCAAACGGCGAAAATCTCCCAGAGATCTCCATCTCAACGCCAAGACCCAGCTCCACTCAACAATCAGCAAGGTACAGTGCTGGACACCCTATGCCAAACAACTAGCAAGACAGGAACACAACCCCATCCATTAGCAGACAGGCTGCCTAAAATCATAATAAGGCCACAGACACCCCAAAACACACCACCAGACGTGGACCTGACACCAGAAAGACAAGATGCAGCCTCATCCACCAGA